ATACGCTGACCTTAAAGAATCTGACCAGCCATCACTGCCATCCTGTACCCACCATCTTCCTGCCACTACTTGAACGTGAGTTTACTCCCATTTATTTTTTTGAAAAGATTTTATTTATTTATTTGAGACAGAGAGGAAGAGAGCACAAGCAGGGGGAGGGGCAGAGGGAGAGGGAGAAGCAGACTCCCCACTGAGCAGGGAGCCCGATGCGGGACTCGATCCCAGGATCCCTGGATCATGACCTGAGCCGAAGGCAGACGCTTAACCAAATGAGCCACCCAGGCGCCTCACTCCCATTTATTTTAAAGAGCAATCCCCCAATATTCTGACAACACAACATGCAAAAAAGCAAAGAATTACCTGCAATAGAAAGTTTAAAAAGTGAAGGACACCTTAACAAAGCAAAAACTGTACTCAGCTTGCTAAATCTTGCCACCCTAATGGTAGGAAAATATCAAAACCAAAATGAGGCAGACTTTAAAGTGCTAGGATACATGAAAAGATATTTTACTTTCTCTTATAATCTTTTCAGTAAGGTTAATATTTACTTAAGATCCCCACCTTTTAATGCTTTATCAAAATTTTTCTCTTTTACAAGATGCTAAGGGTTTTATTGAAATTGCCTTTTGAAACAGTGAAATGAGTTGTGGCTGATTTTATTCTAGGCACCAAGAGGAAATAATGTGCTGCAGAATTTATTCCATTCAGCCCTGAAAACCTGAAATGCAATCATCAATCACAGACTTGCACCCTTTCCTAATGAAAAAAAGATGATTCCTAATATATTTTAGGAACAAGTACTCTAAAACACTCAAATTATGGAAGAAAGAGGCCACCTCAAAGAGTAAAGCAGTCCCTTCACTGGCAAGATTTAAGAGGGATATTAAGAACGGGTTCTCTGAAAAGGAATCGTGTTTATTAGAATGTTAGGCAGAGTTTTCAAATTTTAAATCACAAGCTATTAATAGATTGTGAAATAAATATAATGGGTTATGACTAGTGTATATATATTTTTTTTTTTTTAAAGATTTTATTTATTTGTCAGAGAGAGCAAGCAAGCACTAGCAGGGGGGAGCGGCAGGCAGAGGGAGAAGCAGGCTTCCTGCTGAGCAAGGAGCCTGATGTGGGAATCGATCCCAGGACACTGGGATCATGACCTGAGCTGAAGGCAGATGCTTAACCCACTGAGCCACCCAGGCGTCCCTGACTAGTATATTTTTAGTGGAATTTAATGAAATGGAATAGAATAGAAAATTGTGGGGTGCAAAGCATGACTTATATGCAAGGGCTGATTCATGCAACTTTCATTCATATATTTATCTTATATATTATATATTTTTATATTATATATTATGTTTATATATTATACACACGCGCGCGCGTAAAGTTACCCGTGTATTGAGTTGTGATGCAAACTTTGTTTCTTACTATGGGTCACATTCAAAAAGGTTTGAAAAGATCTTAGCGGGTAAACTGGACACCAAACAAGCAGCCAGCCAGATGAATCCTGCAGGCAGAGAAGACCTGGGCCCAAGGCCTGCTTTAGCAGGTGGAGCTTGGTTGAGACCCGGCTACCCAGAGCACTTTCCAGCACAGGGCCGAGCCAGTGCTGTGGGGAAATCCCACTGTGAGATTACCAGGAAGGAACCCAGAGGATGAGTTCAGTCTGGTTGAAAGTAGAGGGCAGAAGATAGTGTATAATAAAGGCAGACAGAAAACACCAGATAGGCCCAGGCAGTTAATTCAAGAATGAAAAATAATTTATCACTATGCAGAAAAGCATCTCTCATCCTCCCCAAAGTGATTTTGTTTGGCTTTGAAGCCAATTACATTTAAGAGAGATAATAAAGTAATGCCTATGAACAGTGGTCTGTACCAATAATGTTTATTTCATGTCCTTGGGACATAGTTTCAGAGTACTTCTTAAAAAACAATTTGGCACTAAAGCGGAAAAGTCAGTTTAGGATTTTTCTTTGTGAATCATAAAAAGAAATTGCAGGATGTGTTACCTCACATGTTGCCAGAAAACAAAATTAATGAATAAACTAAGTTTCAATTATGAGCCAACCTTGCAAGCTATCATCAACATGCCACGTGCATTAAACACGCCCAAGTTTTAATCTAGAGTTATATTGTTCTGAAAATAAAAGTTGACCCCCACCCCCAAAACTGAATGCAATCCCAGCCTCTGCATCTTTTCTGACCAATGACAGGCCATGGTAAAAAACCAAGAGGAAAAGATTCAAACTGGATTCAGTAATATTCAATATCTCTCCCATGTCAACAAGTTCTCCAAAGAAGGTAAAACAGCAAACTCCCCATTTGGTTTTTCAAAATCATGGCCAAAAGTATAGGGCAGGAAGATATTAAAGTTATTATAAAGTTTTCATAATTATCTGTGGATTTATTCTTATCTTCTCCTTTCCCCAGATTGTTTTCTTCTAAGGGTGAATTTCCTGTAAATGAATCACAGACATGAACTCAAAATTGCTCACTCCATTGTTACAAGCCCGAATGGTTATCCACGCTTCCTCAAGAATCTTTTTCTCTTTTTCTAACTATTTAGAGAAACAGGAGGATTCTCTCAAGCTGATGCTTTCCTCTTGGAGTGCTGCCTGCACGAAGTTTCATTTTGGCTTCAGTTCCACAAAGTAACATGAAGACACCCATGTGGCTATAATACTCTGTCAGGCCCTTGCCTTTTCTTTTCACTCCTGTGATTGCTATTCATTTATTTACTGTGGTAGGCCTACTTTACTTAAATCTGACCTTCTTTGAACTTTCCTTCTACATTTTTCTATCATCAACAGAAGTTATGTATACTGGACTTGAAAGCCTATTTTATATTTGATAAAATCTTTTTTGTGGTGACTTTTTTTTTTTTAAGTCACAATACACTCATGGCAAACAGGAAGTAGCTAAAAATAACACTTGAGAGTTGTGAACTCAGTATCTCCTCTTGGGTTCATAGGCATTTCATACTCAGTATATCCAAAACCAAACCCTTTATTAGCACTCCCCAACAGTTCCAAGTGTTGCCATCTCACTGAAAGGTCTCATCATTCTCTCAGCATCCCATGAAGAAATTCCTTCGTCCTCTCTGTCCTCCAATACAGTTGTCAAGTCTTATACACGCAAATTCTTAAGGCTTTCTGGAACGCAGCATTTCTTTCCATTCTCAGAGCCCCTATTCCGGGCTCTCATCTGGATAAACACAAAGGGCCTCACTGGTCTTTCTGGTTTGACTTCTGCAATCTACTCTCCACATGTGGTCAGAGACTTCCTAAAACACAAAGCTGTCACATGGAGAAAACACCAGCCATTTTGTCTCCTGATGAGAACACAGCTGCCGCCCACGCCTGTATCAGCGCGATCACAACAGTTGGCTAAGGCTTCTAAGCCTAAGTCAGTGTGCAGGGAACAGCAAGGGCCAAGGCGCCCCCAGAGCCACACCATGAGCTACAGTCAGCAACCTCCAGACCGTGGGGAGCTGTGCAGGCCAAAGGTCCCAGGTTCTTCCATAGATAAATTGTAACAAAAATAGATGGAGGAGACATAGCATATAAAAAACAAAAAGGCTTAGTTAACCTTTCAAAACAAGCAAGACTGAACTTGTGCCTAGGGATGCACACCTGAATGAACTATAAAGAAACACAAGAGCAGAATGACTGAAGCCAGGTTAGGCTCCGTGAGGACAGATGGAACTAGGGTTGCGATGGGAGCCCATGGAGGGGCTTCTCAGAATGGCAGGCAAAGTGCTATTTCTTGGTCTGTGCTGTGGTTACCAGGGAGTTTCCTTTAGTTGCTTTATTAAGCTACACGCTTGCCCATATGGTATTTTGTTTCATTTTGCATTGAAAAGGTTAGCGCGCACACACACACACAAACACACACACACACACACACAAATTGGATCATGTCGCTGCCCTGTTAAAAATGTTCAATGGTCTCACAGTGCTTGTAAAGAAAAGTACAAGCTCCTTCCTTCACATGGTAGATAAGGCCTTGTGGCACCTGGCTCTCTACTCAAAGCCTCAACGATTGCTAGTCTCCTCCCTACATTAAATTTTCAGTTCCTCAAAAATACCGTGCTTTCTTATGTCAGGGCCTTTGAACATAAGTTACTTCTGCTTGGAACAATCAAATGCACCCTCTTTCCCCTTCAGTTGGCTGATTCCTATTTGCCCTTCAGGTGGCAGTGGGAAAGTCTTCCCCGATGCTTTAATGTTGGGTCAAGTACCCTTCCATCTACCCATTACACACTGTACTTTCCCAATCACAGCATTTATCATCTGCATTCATATTTATTAGTGGATATCTTCTGTAGGTCAAGGACAAGGCAAGATGTATAACTTGCCCTCAAATTTTCATATCCCCAGTTCCTAGCAAAATGCCTAGAACAGAATAAGTACACAATAAACATAAATAAAATGAATATGTACACCCATTTATTATAAATGAAAATTACCTTTGTTGGCATCAATTTATAACAAAATATAAGCAAATTAATAAAGATAACAGTAACACTATGCTATATACTCTTTCATTAACTCATTTAATGCTCTAAACAACACTACGAGGTCAGTATTATATTCATCACCAATTCATATGTGAGGAAACTGAGCCATGAAGAAGCCAACTAACACGCTCCAGGTCACAGAACCCATAAATGGGATTAGAACGCAGGCAGTCCGCCTCCACTGACCTTGCTCTAATTCCAATAAACCATCACCTCCCACTGCCCAACTAACATCACTACCATACATTTCAAAGATTGAAGCAGGTGGCTTTAATGGGAAAAAATAAAACAAAACAGAACAAAATTCTATTGAGGTTACCTGACAGGGAATACCCATGAATATGATATACATATTAAGATGCTCGATGCCCAGATTTGAGGACCTGGGAAGGAGAGAATAGCAGGTGCAAGGGCACTTCAAAGAGCAGGTAATCTGACTCTCCCGGGAAACTCTGCACTGAGATGTCAAATCCTGACATACCTTTTACTGGCCTCCAACTGGGAAAAGGAACAATATCTCTGTGATTACAGGCTGACGACAGGCAGGTCTTCGGAGCAACAGTGAGGCAGACAAATATGAGTGTCCACGGTGCACAAGGTACCAATCTGATGCAAAGTTATGAAGAGATCCAGGACTTCAGCTCTTTCAATCAAAATAAATACATGCATTCATTCATTTATTAGCATCTTTGTAACCATATATGGCTCTCAGGACTCAAAAGTAAAACATGATGATGGTGCTACCCTCAATAAGCTTATGTGGGGTAGGCAAACAAATAGACCAAGAATTCTAGTACAGACAAAACACCCTATAAGAAGTCTGCATGGTTCCCTTGGCATATCTGAATCACACTGGACAAGGTATGGTTAGAAGCTACAGTCCACAATGTTTCTAGAAAAACATTTTTGGGGGGGCTCCATCTTGAAGATATGTACTCCTGATTAGAGAACCAAGTAGTAAATAACCCAGTTACTACTGCAAACCGACAAATCACATGAACAATAATTGTGGAAACTGAGAAGGGCAACAGGCTATAGAGGAAGGAGAAGTCAAACTGGATCCTAAAGTCTGGGTAGGATTGGAGGGAAAGGAGGAAAGAAAGGGACAGGTACATCTGGGACTCCTGCAAGCAGAAAGGCCAACTCAGCGCTGCTCTGTAAACTTACTGCCGCAAGACTCTGGGCAGAGTTGAAAATGCCAGACAATTTTTTAAATTTTTACCATTTATTTTAGTAAGCTCCATGCCCAATGTGATGCCCAAACTCGAGATTAGAGGAAAAAAAGAAAATTTTTAACTTCCCCAGGCCAAAAAAGGACACCTAAAGAATTCTGATGAAAGAACCACACTGTGAGACAGTGTCTCAAATCCAATCAATCTCCGTGCAGATTCTCTGTCCTAAGTCATTCCTTTTTCTCTCCACCCTCACGGTCTTAACTGTGGTCTTCACTTCCTTCCTGGACTAATATTCTAAGCTTCTACCTAGTTCCCCTCCTCCTGATTCCTCTCCTTCCAAGCAGTCCCACACACAAAGCTTCTAAACCACTGGCTTATGTGGGATAAGCGATGATCTGGCGGCCCCTGACAATGTCTCCTCCTGCTGCCCTAATGCAGAGTATTGACACTGGAAAGGAAAAGGGGAGACGGATGAGAAAGTCTGTGGTAAGCATGGCTAAAACACGTTTCCTTAATGGAAATGGCAGAAGGACATGAAGAAATAAAAAGCCATTCTGAAGATAACTAAGGTAAAATGAACTACCAGGCTTATAAGAGACCCCATGGGCATACTCATGTCATTATCACTCTCTAGGAGTTATAAATATTTGCATAGCATATATTTGCATAGCATATATCTTCTTAGGAAGAATCTAATGTCAGCAAGACCCTACATCTTAGTAGTATTAGAACTCAACAGTTAGGGGCACCTGGGTGGCTCAGTCGTTAAGCATCTGCCTTCGGCTCAGTCATGATCCCAAGGTCCTGGGATCGAGCCCTGCATCGGGCTCCGTGCTCCTCAGGAAGCCTGCTTCTCTCTCTCCCACTCCCCTGCTTGTGTTCCCTCTCTCGCTGTCTGTCTCTCTGTCAAATAAATAAATAAAATATAAAAAAAAAAAAGAAAAAGAACTCAACAGTTATTGGGCACCTGGGTGGCTCAGTTAAGCATTTGCCTTCAGCTCAGGTCATGATCTCAGGGTCCTGGGGTTGAGCCCCGTGTCATGTCAGGCTCCCTGCTCAGTGGGGAGTCTCCCTCTGCCCCTTCCCCCCAGCTTGTGCTCGCCCTCTCTTCTCTCAAATGAATAAATAAAATCTGGGAAAAAAAAGAACTGAATAGTTATTTTACCTAATAGATAAAGCCAACTTTTAAAAAAAATGACTGTGAAGCATCATTGGAAGAGAATAAAGATACACACAGAGCACCTGCCAATTAGTATCTTCCCTCAAGATAAGGGGCAAGAAATGCACAAAATTCAAACCTCATGCTTGGTAAGTTTTTCATATTAGAAACATTTAAGAGCCAGATTGTTAAGACTATGTGGAACATTTGTGTTACCCTTGTTTGTATATATGGGGTGAGGGACTCTGACTTAGAACCCTATCAAAAGAGGGACAAAGATTCCCCTGGCCTTAAGCACAGCTCTCTTTGGGCACTCTGAAAGCCCATGTTATACTTAAGAAGGCAAAGTGACACTAAAAGGGCAGGAGGCAGGAGAGAGAGGGTCACTCATCGCCAATACTGACTCTCAGAGTCAAACAAGAGATCCCACAAAGAAAATTTACTTTGGATTTCTGCTCACTTGTGTATGATTATAGCTGCTGTAAAACATCTTAAATTTGTTGTTAGAAAGAAGCATTGTTAAAACCACTTTATCTTCACTTGCGTTTGAAATAGATGGAGAACACTTTGCTTGTCATGTACTGAACAATCATACTTTAAAGGAGATGGTCAGCTAACCCACACACCTGATGTTGCCTCTCAATTAGCAACTCTTCACAAGCTTCCCCTGGCTATGGGTCACCTGACCTCAATTTTCACCCAATGGCTCCATTTATTATTATACAGCAACAATCTGCCTATTAAATAGCCCTCAAGAAGAGAATTCCCAGTGGCTAGGTTCCTAACATGTGTTTCCATAATGATCATCAGCCTGGCTAGCTCAATAGAGCATGAGACTCAGTCTTGGGGTTGTGAGTTTGAGCCCCACATTGGGGGTAGAGGTTACTAGAAAAAAATAAAATAAATGTAGGATCTCTTTAAAAAAAAAATCTGACCATCCTAAAAGCCTATAGTCATCAGTTTTAGTCTTCTATTTCCAAGGTAAAAGGGGGTCACTTCTTTTAGATTACAGAATGAAAAGAAGAGAGAAAAAGGCAAAAAGAGAGGCAGGGGGAAGGGTAAAAGGAAGGAGAAACAAGAATGAGAAAAAGTTAGGGGAACTGGGGGCTGGGTTTTCTGAGAGCCCAGCATTTGTCTCCCCAGGTTCACTGGATGTGTTTCCTGGAATCCAATGGTTTCCAGGTGCATTCTGGGCTAAGCCTCCCAGTCTTCACCACTGTTAAGGTCATGAGAGGAAAACCTGATCTTTTCACTCACGGTGTTGGGGCTCCACATGTGGGGACCTAGCTACACCTCCCCCTTCCTTTGATTCCCAGCCTTAACGAACAATTCAGAAAAGTAAAAAGTCTGCGAAACAGCTGTAGGGAACTGTACTCGGAGCCCAGCAGGGGCATGCTGAGAAAGACAGGCACACACTTCATTTTGGAATGTACAGGAATGAAACGGATTGGTTCATTTCCATATGCCAGAGGCTTTTCTTTTCTTTTTTTTTTTTTTGTCTTTTTCTCTCTCCTTCATTTTACCTTATTATTTTATTTTACTTTATTTTCCAAATACACTCTCAGATGTCACTGTCCAGAAGTCTGCAATCCACAGGCAAGGATTTAGTACTCAGTCAGCTGCAAATGAAAGTACAATTACTTCTCTGTCTGAAAGTTCAGCTTTCTTTGTTTCCCCCACCAGTGATTTCCTGTGGCTGAGACTGGCTCCAATGCGAGAGTGAAGTAATTTCTTTCCTCTGTGATTTATTTTCTGACAATCAGTAAGCAAAACTACTATAAAGAAAGGAGGAAAGCATGATTCAGAATGAATCCTTCTCAAAAACACAACTCCAGAGTGACAGAGCAGGTAAAACAGAGTACTGTGTATCAAGAAACTTGAGAATCAAGCTCCACGTTCATACCTATTTCTGTGTCGTGCCAGGTACATAATGCTAAGAGCTTCACATGCATTATCTCACCGCACGGGAAGGATCATCCACATTTTACAGATGAAGACACTGACGTTTACAGAGGTTAAAAAATCTGCCAAAGGATGCATGGCTAATAAAATGGGAGAGTCAAGGCTCAAGCACTGCTCAGCCTCCAAAGACCATTATTCGAGGGCCGTTCCCCAGGGTTTACAATGCTTGGACAAAAGCCTGTTGCCTGGAAATGCACACAGGATAACTAGACGCTATCAACTAGAGCTGAATATATCCTTTTTGTTACAATCCTATCTTCAGTCTCTTGTAAATGCATTCATCTCTTCATATGATTAAGTAAAATAGACTCAACTGAGCCTTTCTTAAGTGCTTCGGGATCCGTAGTGTTTTCCAATAATCATTTGAGTTTTTTGCTTCTTTTGCTGGTTTTTAGTTCTAGATCACAGCAAGAACTTCCTGAGGAGTACAATGGCATCCATCACAAGCTTGAGTGAGATACACGAAGTACAGGGAGGCTTCCTGATACGTATGCAAGATTCTACTGAAAGATTAAGCTAGACTAGGGGGAAAAATGGCCTGTGGCTAAACCATAGATCCATCCCTTCCACCTCCACCAGTATTTCAATGAACTTCACTTTGGAGATGCTTTACCCAGGGATGCTATAGTGTTCATTCATTCACTCACTGGACAGAAGTCTACTTAATGCTGTGCTAAGAAGTGGAGGATCCACATGCGAGCTAAAGCCACAACCTTGCCTTTAGTCTGGTCTGGCACAAAAAACAGACTCACTGGGCACCTGGGTGGCTCAGTCAGTTAAGCATTTGCCTTCTGTTTTTAGGTAATGATTCCAGGGTCCTGGGATCAAGCCCCACATCAGGCTCCCTGCTCAGCGGGGAGTCTGCTTCTCCCTCTGCCTTCCCCCCCCCCCGCTTGTGCATGCGCACTCAAATAAATAAAATCTTAAAAGAAAAAAAAAACAGCCTTGTGCAACCCATCACATATGCGCTGTAGGGATGTTCATGAGACTGTTGTGAAGGTTCTTCACAAAAAAACCAGGAGATATTTCTGTTACTTGGGTCAAGAGTAGTAGTTCTATAGAATAACTGATCTGTTTTTGATCCCATGGACACTCTACACTTCAAAATTTACTGAGCCTACTCTTTTTTTTTTTTTTAAAGATTTTATTTATTTATTTGACAGAGACACAGCGAGAGAGGGAACCCAAGCAGGGGGAGTGGGAGAGGGAGAAGCAGGCTCCCCGCTGAGCAGGGAGCCCGATGCGGGGCTCGATCCCAGGACCCTGGGATCATGACCTAAGCCAAAGGCAGATGCTTAACGACTGAGCCACCCAGGCGCCCGGAGCCTACTCTCTTTAGAGCTAAACAATGCAGGGCCCCCTTTGGCCCACTCATGGTCTGTGAGATGCAACATTTTAGCAACTGTCTCATTCCTAATTTAGCTGATGTCCCCAACCTTTTCCTTCCCTTTTCTTTTTCAGCTACTTTTAATTTGAATCTTATATTTTGTTTCCTTAATCTTCTGGGGGAAATGTATAGTAGAAATAAGTAAATAAAAATATACATATGAAATTTTTAGGGAAGTAGAGTAATATGCGCTGAGTCCCCAAACTCCAAAAATTGACTTTTTAGATATCTTTTAAATCTCTACTAAGAACTGCTTTTATTGTTTTCCTACCTTAAAGTTTAAGCTTTTGGGGGGGGGCTAATGGAGAACATTTATTTGGAGTCTAGCTGTGTTCTTTTTTAACTATGTAAGGTCTGAAGGCAGAAATCAACCATTTACACATGAGAGTATCCCCATATGCCAACTGACATATGCAGACCTGCTCTAGTGACTAGGTGACATTATATAAAAAGTGAATTCACTTTAAGTGAATTAAAATGCATCTTCTATTTTTACCAGCTCTAGATGTATGGTCTCAGCTCATTAAGCTTTCTTCAAGTGGCTGCATATTAAGTTCTAATCAAGCCTTTATATAAAATGGCCAACTGCAGCCCAAATCCTAGTTCTCATTTGGAAGATGAGATCTATAGGGGTCCAAAAAAAGGCTATTCATTCAAAGGTTAAAGACATTTTTGGTGGTGCTGAAAATGATTTGCCACTTTACATGTAAGTCAGAATGATTATCTTTTTAAATTTGATTTTTAGAACTAAGTTAAGAACAAACTTAAATTACTGTTAATTTTACTTTATGAAGAACATGTGAGCCTTAGCAGAAGTCAGAAGAACAAAGGAGTGTGTGAGCGAGGATGTGGCATCTCTGCAAAGGCACACAGACAGGACCCATCTTTCTGTGGTGCCCGATCATCGG